GCTTGTTGGACTTGGAAAAGTAACATCAGGCCTACTGGTTTTCCTGAACCTTACATAGAACACAATAATGAATGACCACGCAGACATATGTAAACAACAACTACAGGATGGATCAGTGAGGACTCAATAACTGGTCTCCCCTTTTCCCAGCCCTTTGAAAGTGTTCAGTGTTCAGTGCATTGGAACTTGTAATAATGACATGTTTGAGCCACTGACCCTAAGTGGTTTATACAAAGCCACACACTTCCCTCTGACTTTTTATATTATATAAAAGAAAGTTTCATGTTTTGACATAGTTTCGACCTATTGGCATGATGAATCAATAGTGTTTTCCAAATAAAAATATCATAAAATATGCTTTAGTTCTCCCTTCCATATTTTTAACATGTAAAACTTATGTGTAATCAAACACTCATTATTTCTAGGGACCCTCTTAGCTCAAGTCAACTGCACATTCTGTACACTTTGTAGTCTCTAATTTATGTAAATGAGTATTTGTCTGATTACACATAAGTTTTTCTTTTCCAATATAGTTCAAGTTAGGGATGCCTCAGTCTTCATAGTCCATTTCAAAAGTTAAACACCGCCAGTGCTGTGCCTTTTTGGAAAGGACAGGCAGTCTGCTGCAGGGAGTGTGGGGCACAGTTATCTTTGGTCACATGGTCCCCATTTCCACTCAGCTTCCAGAACTTTATTACACTGCAGAAATGTCATTGTTATGATGTTCAGGTTTCCTAATTTGACTTTGCTTTGAGGAACTAAGATGGAGTAAAGTGGGCAGAGAAGTTCCCATGATGGAGAAAGGGAAAAGAGAGGGTGTTGATGTCCAGCTTGGTGTGATGTGGCTGGAGAATGTGGAAGAGGAGACACACAGTGCCTTTTAAGGGTAGTGGAAGTGGTGAGTGGGATGGAAGTGAACCACAATAATTCTGGAAATTCCAGAGTCTCTAAGCCAAAACAGCCTTTGAATACTTCTCTGTTTGCTGAACATCACTCACTGGTATAATAGCATTCTATATGCTAATAAAATTTAATGTTGAAGTATAAAATAGAAATATCTGTAAAAACTCAGTCCCCTTCCTTTAGTCAAAGAAATTGTATGTCCATCAAACCCTTTGCTTAGATCAATTCCACTTCATCTTGCTTCTCTCAGTCTGTTGTAAGACCAGATTGTCCTGAAACCAGCTATGTCTGTGACATTCTTTTCTTTTGGTGTGGAAGAGACATTTTAGCACTTGGAAGGATTAGTAGAGAAATTATAGAACATAGTGGATAAGAATGCATGCTTAAAGAATCAGAAAGTACCAGGAACTGACACACACCTATAATCCCAGGGACTCAGGAGGCTGAGGCAGGATTGCAAGTTCAAGGCCAGACTCGGCAACTTAGCAAGGCCCTAAGCAACTTAAGCAAGATTCTTTCTCAAAATAAAAAAAAAGAAAGAAATAAAATGGCTGGGGACATAGCTCAGTGATAAAGTACCCCTGGATTCAGTTTCTCATGCCAAACAAAGAAGAAGGAGGAGAAGGAAGAGAAGGAGACTGCCTGAGTTCAAATCCTGGCTTACCTCTTTGTGCTTACCTCATTTTATCATCAGAAGGATTAAATCCATATAAAACATTTAGCATTATATCTGGCATAGAAAGTACTCAATAAACATTTGTAATCTCATAAATATAATAAAAACAGGTTGGTTAAGGTTTTCCATGACTTTAGTCAAGTAACAGATTATGTTTGATATGGTGATTTTTAGATTCAGGATTTGGACTTAGGAATTCAGTATACTAATATTTTCCTGACTGAAAGTCTCCCTCATAGGTGAGGTAATTTCACATTTTCCAAGGGCTCATTTTAAGTTTACTCAAATTCACTGAAATTATAAAAACAAAGAATAAAGTAAGAGGAAGAAGAAATAGATGGGTCCTCAGTAAAAGTCAGAAGATGTAGCAGACTAAATTTAAAAAGTGACGCAAGGGATGGTGATGATCGAGAGCAACGTTGTCACACACTGTCTTCTACTCTCATTGCCTAGCCTTCCATAGAGGGAGAACAGCAGGTGTGAGGAGTGGGGGTAGGTCAGGGAGAGCGTCAGGAGAAACCGTGAGCATGAGCCAGGGAGCTTCGCACACTTGGCCAGTGACCTCTAAAGTACTTGGAAATGGAGGGAGATGGGCCCCCAGAGCAAATTAAATGATAGATTTGGTTCAAGTATTGAAGACAACAAAACCAAACCATAGCTGTGGCTAAAGCCGGTTTACTCCCCCCACCTCAACACTGAGCAAATAGCTGGTTCCATTCAAAAATGAAGTGTAATTTTTTTTTTTTAAGAAAAGGGAACTAGCATAAAGTCTTTGCTAGATTAAAAGACAAAGAAATAAGGAATGTAAGCAAGCAGCAAGTAAAGAGCATATATCAAATAGAAAACTACTTAAGAAACGGGTAAGAGTCAGATTACAGTTCTGTGTAACAAACAGCTCTTCACAGTGTCAAAGCATTTACAAAACACCTCTCTCTCTCTCTCTCTCTCTCAAAATGGAAGGGGGAGAAAAAGAAGAAAAAAGAAGAGCTGTCTGTTAAAAGATGAAACTAACTCAACAATCAGTTCAAAAATGATCTCTCAGAGCTTAGGAAAAATGGTAAACAAAATCAAAAGATTACAGAGATGATTTAGATCATATTAGAAGAAACTAAAACAGAAAAATCATATCTGAAAACATCCAAGGAAATATGGAATCCAGCTGGAGGAAATCATGCAAAATGAAGTGAAAATATAAAATAGATATAAAATAAGAAAGCAAAGTAATCACAGAGAAAATTGTAATTATGGGATATAGTTAAAGAATAGTCAACATATGCAAAATCTGCATACCTGAAAACTAAAACTGTAGATTAAAAAAATAGAATATAGGGACTGGGGTCGTGGCTCAGTAGTGTACTCATCTGCCATGTGTGAAGCACTGGGTTAGATCCTCAGCACAACATTAATAAATAAATATAATAAAGGTATTGTGTCCATCTACAATTAAAAAATATTTTTAAAAATAGAACATAAACAATTCTTATAACTTCTGTTCAAAGAATTGAATTTAAAAATAGGGCACACACAATATCTCAGGAAAACTGATATAGAATAATTAATACCAAAACATTTCCCAGTGAAGTTACTAAATTGAGGGGGAAAAATCAGTTCATCATAGGATGAATTTCTTTCATCCTAGCAAAGAAAGAAACTCAAATTCAACATGGAAAAAATTAGCTTCACCTCAGACTGAGGAGAGAAATATTTCCAAAGTTCTGAGAGAAAAGAATAAGATTGAAGCATTTTTATACCCAGCCAAGTTGTCTTGCAAGCAGACAGACAGCAGAAATTCCTACAGATAAGGATACAAGAAATAGTCCTTTCTAATAATAATAGCATTAGTCCTTTTTAAAAGAGCAGGAGCTAGCTGGTGCCGTAGCACACGCCTATAATCCCAGTGACTCAGAAGGATGAGGCAGGAGGATCTGAAGTTCAGAGCCAGCCTCAACAAAAGCAAGGTGATGAGCAACTCAGTCTCTAAATAAGTCTCTAAATTAAATACAAAATAGGACTGGGGATGTGGCTCAGTGGTCAAATGCCCCTGACTTCAATCTCTAGTACCAAAAAGAGAGAGAGAGAGAGTCTCTGTAAATGTCGCCCTAAAGCCTGTGTTACACAGCATATGTGTTGCTTTCTTTTTACCTTTCATTTGAGTTGGTTAACAGATATAGCTATTGAAAATAAGTGCAAGAAGGTAAGAAAAATCAAGATGTGACAAACAACAAATAGTTGATCAGCAAAGTCTTTACATAGTGAGAAGAGATCATTTTTGTTACTTTCTTTTTCCTTTAGATATAAATCACAAAATTATAGCTTATCTCAAAAAAGTGTCTTGCCAAAAATCAAAAATTGCCACAGAATATTAGTAAGTAATGAATTACTAGAATAAATTTCTTCCTCAGTTTTTTAGCATAAAAAATTTGGGGACTTAAAGATTAATAATTTTACATTACCTTAGCAAATCCATAGCCTTGTGTGGATGAACTCAGGCATACACATTTTCATAGTGTATTTCCTTATTTCCAGGTGTGTCTGATGAGCCATTTCTGTGATACACTGCAAGTTAGCTTTAAATTGACGCAGCACTTGCAACAGATTTTAAAAGTAATAAATTCTAGCACATCTCAGATTAGGAGGAAGAAAAATGCAAACTCAGCTGTGGAAAGGCAATACCATGTGCCTTTCACATTTGTGTGGCATCCACACTCACCTTCATCCTTCCTGGACGTACCTTCCAGCAGTTTATTTCCACCACCCTCACCTCCTCAGCTTTTAGAGAAGTGCATGGGATAAGCCACCCACGTTTCTTGACCAGCTCAATGATCATCAGCTGGCTGGGCATAGGCCTGATTATGTTTTGGAGGCAGAAGAAAGTGGAGAGCCAGGGAGCTCCCCATATCCAGGACTACTACTGCTGTCCACCTGTGTTGAGGAGGCTTTGAGACACAGCTTGCAGATTCTCCATCCTTCATACCTTTATAATCATATGAATCATACAGGTTTCCCAGATACCTGCCAAGGCTTTAATCAAACCAAAGACATGCCATGAGTTGTCCTCAAGTCACAGTTTAGTGTGATCATCATCCACATCCTGATCAAGGGTGGGCTGCAGCATTAGCGCAGGGGTGGGCCTTGTGAGTAGAGAGGAGAAAACAAATGATTTACTTATAAGATGCTGCAAATTATGTTAACAAGGGTTTTAAAGAGATAAAAGTGTTGTTGTAGGGCCCATCTCTCCCAGAGTCGCAAGGTCAAGCTGGATAGCTTTTCCATTTGTGTAACTCTCCTCTCATTTCAGCTTTATTGTCTGATAAGCAAACTTATCTTTGTGATAAATAGATATCATTCTGGCACGTCTTAAAATCAAAACAGTCATGTCTGTGGTTTAAAAAAAAGATAACTTTCTTTTTTTCCATTTTAGATAACTTACATACGGCAAGAATATGAAACAAAATTCAAAGGGTTGATGCCAGCATCTCTAAGACAAGAACTTGAAGACACCATTTCCTCCCTAAAATCACAGGTAATGGCAAGAACTGAGACTTTTCCCAAGGATTTAGGTGATATGTATATCCTGGAAAGAAACTTGAAAATAAACTTGATTCTGAAATCAACATTATGTCCTGAGGAGTCCAGCATCCAGGATGATTGTTTTTGTCTTGTTTTAAATTATTTTTCTTACTACTTTAAGAACTCATTGTTTCAAGCCAGACATGGTGGCATATATCTGTAATCCCAGCAGTTTGGGAGCTTGAGGCAGGAGGATCACAAGTTCAAGGCCAGCCTCAGCAACTTATCGAAGACCTAAGCAGCTTAGCAAGACCCTGTCTCAAAATAAAAAATAAAAAGGGCTAAGGATGTAACTCTGTGGTAAAGCATCCCTGGGTTCAATCCCCAGCACCAATAACAAAACAAAACAGGAACTCGTTATCTCCATAAGGTTTTCTTACAAGTCCCCTTGAAATTGAAAAATTCAGTCGTGGAGCTTGGGTCATTTGCCATCCACATCCCAGTACAACTTCATCCTTTTATTTGCAGTAACTGGTCCAAGTTGCCACCAGTTAGCACATTACTGATTCCTCACTGAACTAAGGGGCAGAGAAGGAAGCATCATTAAGTCGGAAGCATGTTTATTCTGGTGTATTTTATATGGTTGTTTAAAATAAGATGTATTTTCAGTGCAAGACAAAATAATGACAAGGTATTCAAACTGTTAGATTCAATATTTCTTGTTGAAATACATGGTTGTTGGTATAGTTCATAAAATATAATGTGAAAGGTAAAACTGATTTGACTTTGGATACTTACTTCTAAGTAGACTATATACTTCCATATTTTTTTGAATGTTTTATGTATTGCTGGCCTAATGAGTTTTTACTTCTAACATGAGAAAGAGTTCACCTACTCACATTTTTAATAGTTTTAAGATGTGTGTTTTCCTAGAAAGGATCCATGAGTGAGGTATACCTGCACTCTCTAGGCCAAGAACTCTGCCTGGCACATAGCAGGTGCTCAATAAATTTATTTACAAATAAATGATATGGTTTGATACAGTTCACATTAGCTATATTTATAATGTGTAAGATGAAACATGTAGCAAATTTTAGCTGTCCCTGTTATATTCCCCTCAGTAAAAAGCTTCTTATCTGAAAATGAAATCTTCATTCTGTTGGTCCTTCTGCTACTTATTGCCATTGGCTACCAAGAAGTTGTGCTGTGTCACTCCAGCATATAAAACTAAGTGCTGGAAGAAAGGTCAGCACAGAGTTAAGCAATCTTTATTTACGTGGAAAGCTCTCCTGGTGTGACTCACCTGTTGACTTCTAGGGAGCTACCATAGGGTCAGCAAGGAAGAACCTGAGCCCTTGGAGGAAGGTTGGGTTGTTTCTCCCCACCCCTGGCCCCTGGAGGTGTTGAGGGGAGCTGGGGGGGAATCTGATATCCACCTGCAGGGCTTCTGTTATCATCCATATCATTCACTGTAATAAAACCTACTTCAGCCTCTTAAAACTGGATGTTGACCCAGAAAGAGTGTTGCCAGCTGCACTGGGGGCTCAGAATTGGCAGCTGCATGGAGTCACAGGCCATAGAGTGAGCAAATTTAGTTTGAAAGCACAGGTGCCTGTATTTTTTTTAAATTGTTAGAATTCCGATTGTAGTGCTGCACGGGGGAGGAGAGTTGAATCAATGTAATTCTTGCATCTGTGCAAAAATTAATTGTTCTTTGAGTCATTTGATAAAATCAAAATAGGGTGACAGTACAGATAAGCAAACTCAAGGGACCACTGTGCTAGGCACCCATTTGGAAGCTGTACTTTCCTCTCTCTCAAGCACATTTTTGGTTCTGCCAGTTATACTCTTGCATAGCTGCGCTTCAGAATCAGCCGTTGCCATGGCTACAGCTCAGACCAAAGAGGCAAGAGTAAACAATTCCGATCAGATCAAATGACAACTCTTTTTTTATATATACATACATTTTTAGTTGTCAATGGACATTTATTTTATTTATTGATACATGGTACTGAGAATCGAACCCAGTGCTTCACACCTGCTAGGCAAGCGCTCTGCCACTGAGCCACAACCCCAGCCCCAAATTTGATCTCTTGATTACATCAGGCCATAGAATAAATTGTTTTTATTTGAGTGTATAAGGTGCTTTTAACTTATGCTTGTTACAGGTATCTTTAATCGTATAGAAATTTATGCTTCCAAATAATCAAATACATCATAAAGTCGGTTTAAGAGAACATGCTGGAATCCTAGTTTCTTCTGTCTCACATCCCTGCAAAAGTGGGGCCATGAGGGTGGCACCTGCCACAAGCTCTGCATTGGACATTTTGTACTAATCACTCTGCATCATCATCAGACCTTGGGAAGTAGCAGGCATTAGCCCCATTTCACAGATGAGGCTTCAAAAGCTGAAGTGACTTTCCTAGAGCCTTAGAAGCCAAGCCAAGAATTGAACCCAAGTTGGCCTAATTCCAGGCAAAGCTCAGGCTCTTTCCACTGCAAAATACTGTCTCTCCAACCTCAGGGAATTCCCAGGATGGATTGAGGTTTCCAGAAAGCAGTAATTTTCTTTTCACTCACTCATTCATTCATTAAACAGCTAGTGAATAACAGCCACCTGCCCAGCCCTGGAAAAGACTGGGGTACAGAGACTGGAAGGAGTCCTCCTGTCCCAGCAAGCCCTCAGGTTTGGGGAAGAGACCTGAAAACCAACGGCCACTGGGCAGGATGGGAGGAGAGGCGCCAGGGATAGAATCCAGCAGTGGAGAAGAGGGAGCCGCTGCCGTGGCCCAGGGCGAGGCCCCCACGGGCAGCCGGGGAAGGAATCATGGCAGCATTCCGTAGGAAGGTGACATGAGCCATAGAGGATGAATAGGAGACAGTCAGCCAAGCATTCCATAGAGAGAAAATTGCCCATGCCAAAGGGCAGGAGTATGGGAGACGTGTGTGAGGTGACAGTGGTGGCAAGGGCTTTCGGGCAGATGAGGCCACAAAGATAGGATGGGGGCCAGATAAATTGGCTCTGCAGAATGGAGTGTGACTTTATTCTATCTAGTGCATTTTCAGTAGGGATGAAATGTGACCAAATGTTAAAAAACACATCACTGACATTCAACAAATCCTGAGCTTTATCTAAGAAGTTGTCTGAATCTAGATAAAATCCTACCGTGTTCTATGTGCAATATTGACATTTGAGCCGTAGTCACCTTTTCTCATAGAAGGTGTCTTTTCTAGGTTAACTTTCTACAAAAGAGAGCATCCATCCTTCAAGAAGAGCTGACGGCATACCAAGGCAGAAGGTGAAGCCATGGGCAGAGTGCCCTCTCATTACTTTGTATTGTTTGCACCTGCGAGTCTCCTGGCTTGACTTTTAAGTCTGTCAGAATGCTTAGATGTAGTATGGGTTTTGAAAAAACAGACATGTTTTTAGTAAATAGCCTGACTTTGAGCCATCACCCACTTCTGCTGATCACAGGGCTTTGTCAGCCCCATCAGAACAAGATGGGGGAACCCAGGGCATGGCAAAGGCGGGCATCCCCCAGGTGGTCAGCAAGATATGGTCTGGAAGGCTTTTGCAGAGTGAAGGAGGCACCGTCCTTCTTCAAGACGAGGAGGTGATACAGTTCTTGCTGTGATTGGCTCACATCTTCAAGGTCCCCTGTCCCCTAAGGGCTTGGCACTGTTCTCCAGACCCAAATAGATCAATGCTCCGTGAAGTTGAAACACTGGCAGAGATGAGTGCCCCCAGTGTGCTCTTCTCAGGGATGTGACCTTTTAGTCAAAGGTTCCCAGTGATGTCACTGACCTAGATTGTGTTTGCCTGCTCCAATTCAGTACAACAATCTTGCTTTTCATGCTGTGAAGATTAAAGCATTTACTTGGCATTGAATGAAAAGGAAAGAGCTGCCATGCCTGTAATTCCAGTGGCTTCAGAGGCTGAGGCAGGAGGATTGAAAGTTTGAGGCCAGCCTCAGCAACTTAGTGAGATTCTCAGCAATTTATTGGAACCCTGCCTCCAAATTAACAGGACTGGGGTTGTAGCTCACTGGGAAAGCACCTCTGGGTTCAATTCCCAATACTGTAAACAGACAAATAAATAAATGGAAAGAGCTTACAAATAATCTTTAATTTTTCAAAAGATTCTGTTTGATGTAAATACAATTTGGTTCTTATAGGCAACAGTGCTGAAATTTTGATATCAAATATACTTTTAACCCCAAACTTCTCTAGAATTACATCACATTTTATAACAACAGACCCATTAAGCCCACAAGTCCTAACTGAGGTTTTGGTTTTCAGGTAACTGCATGAGGAGATGCGGTGGGTGTGAACATCCAGGCCACACTGTGCCCCTCATCCCACAGGTTTGAAGATGTGGATATTGTAAACTGTGAGATCACTGGCATTTTTTAATACTTAAGTGTAATTAATATCATAAAAACGTCATCATTCACACATTAGTGGGGTGGTTTTATTTGTGTCTGCCTAAGTTATTTTTTTTTAAATCCCTTTTATTTCTGATTTCCTTTTTGTGTGCTTTTGAGTGTGGGCTGAGAAACGCCTTTTCTTGAAAAAGCAGTGGTTCCTCATGGCATGCCATGTTCATGGTTTGCATAGAATTTTAGTAGTTGGGTATGATCAAAATCAAGTTTGTAGTATCATATCAAAAATTTTAATCTGTTTACATTGTTTCATGTTTGTGTTCATGTATTATTAAAGTATTATTTTGTACTTATCAGTATTCTTTCTACTTTTTAACCACACCTCATTTGCTAAAATAAATGTGACATATACAGGTATTTTTCCCTAGCAAATACTGACAATGTCAAATTGAACTTTGGAGAAAAAATTCTGTCCTGTCAGAGATCAAATTCATGATTAGAGCTGAGATCAGTGTTTAGAATAAAACCCCCGGGCCACCCAGTGTGAGTCAAGTACTTGTGGTGTTGTCTCCAGTCGGCTTCTGGAAGGACAGAGGCAGCTTGGTGTGAGAGTTTGTGTCAGTAGCTATGGCTCTACTGTTACTTTGTTGATTTCTTGTTTTCTGGTGGTTGTTTTAATTGTCATTTTAATCAGCAATCCTTAAGAAAGCCTGAAGTCTTGTGCCGAGGCTACAGCACATTGGCAAGTGATCACAGCATGCACTTCTTCAGGTCCTGTTTGCTTGGGGGCGCCTCCTTGTTGAGAGACCATGGCTTTGTTCCAGTGAATGGATGTTTAAGTCTGGGTCCCTCTCTCCTCCCCAATGCCCTTAGGCAATTCTGAGCCACTAGGTCAACCCAGATTTGCCTTGAAAATTTTGTATTGCAGTAAATGGGTGCATAATATTCTTCCGAATTCTCTATGGCGTGTGCCATGGACCTTGGAGACTCTAAAATTCTGACCTTCGGGTGTGGCTGTAATCACCTCATTTGTGGTAAAGGACAGGGCAGAAAGTTTATTTACACTTTTTCAAAATTCTTTTCTCTTTCCCACACCCATGACTGTTGTTTGCTGCCCAAGGATTAGTTACTTATGTGCTTTGACTGAGACATGGAGATGATAAGGAAATAACAGGTTTTACAGCCACTTCCAAAGCCAGAACCAGGATCAGCTCGATGTGGCCTTGTGGCAGCCATCGGGCAGGCTGGTTTTCTTGCACTAACACATCTCTGTAGTGCCAGCACTCTCCCGGTGACACTTAGGTGCTCCCCCTGCCACCTTCCAGAAATCTAAGTCTCTGTCCTGTGGAAGATCAGGTTTGTCTCTCACGTACAATACATTATTGCACTGCCTTCAAGAATATTCAAGAAAAGCAAACTTGTAGCAGATGCTATTAAAACCACCTATTGAGGACAGCTGGTACTCAGACTATGATTTAGTACTCAAAAGGAAAAGATTATGGCTATGTGATTAATGTTAAGTACATCTGTGCAGACCATGAAAAACAGGTTGGGGCTCAGCAGATTTCATTAGTGAAGTTATTAGCTTCTCGGACTGAAAATACTTTCTGGATTGTATTGTATGCTAGAATAGGAGCTCCCACACAGAATATTTGTGTTCCCTGAGTAAATACCAGTAGGTGTTTTGGAAAATTGCCTGCTATTCTTCCTTTCCCTTATTTCAAGAGTTGTGAAATGACAAACACTGATGAACCTTTGACATCGCCCAGATCCTGTTTCCCAACTGAAGCAGGCCGTGTATGTCTGGAGTAAACCAAAGGAAACTTTAGTTCACTTTGATTGGATATGATAGGAATGGGTGGTTGACACTGATGTGCTCATGAATGTTCTCTGATAAAGGGAGAGAAAGAAAAATAATGTATTTGGCATGTTTGAAATTTCTTAACTGAGTTGAGCACTGAGTATATAAATGGCTACTGGGAGAAAAAGCAGGTGCTCAGGAAATAAATTATAAACACTGTGCCTTATTATAAAATCATCTAAGAGTTCATCCTTTCTTTTATCTGGTGGAAGATCAATTGTTCATCACAAGTACCTAATTTAGTTACATCTCCAGTTATTATTACTGGCTACCGTACCTGAGTCAGCCACCTGTGCCTTCTGTATTTCATCATGTGATTGTCAACAGGTAGTGCTGATAGGGCGTTTGGAGTAAGCAGAGCAGAAGGAAAGCTCTGGGACAGTGTTTTCGCCGTGTGTTACCCACCCTCTGTTCTCCAGGGGTCAAGAGAGAAGGGCTCACAGTTAGCCATTCGGTCATCTGCACGTGTCATCGTTTCGTCTCAGTCCATCATTTCTGCATCACCAGCAGTGGGCCCTGTCCAGGGGTCTGACTTCTGATTTTGCCGCCTCCTGAACTTCAGAGGGCAGCCATAGAGGCACAGTGCAGAAAGGCAGGCTCAGGTAGAGGGAACAGGTGTAGACGTACGTGCTCCATAGGTTGTACAAAAGACTGTGACTCCAGGGAGAGAGCTCAGATGCAGACATCCTCCTGTAATGTCACACATTAACAGAGATGTTTTCAGAAACGGGCATGTGCTCATGGTGGTGAGCAGCCTCATTAAAGGCGTCTGCAGAGAGCAGTGCAGAAAGAAGATACTGTGCGCCTGAATTAACAATTAACAGCTCCCTCATTGAAGTGCATCACCACCCAGAGAAGGCAGTGGCTGTTGGCTTTCTGTCTAAGAGTAAAAAGGAAAGGTAAAACATCAAAAATGGTGGGAGAAAAGTTCCAGAACACAAGGTCATTTTAATTCATAGTTTCCTTAAAAGAACTGTCTCTTCTGAGCTTTCATATTTTGTTCAGAAAGGTCATCTCTTTTAAGCCTTGTCATTAAAGACAGTTTGCTCTTTAAAGTGAATTATCAAAGGGTATAGAAATTGCAAGTTACTGAAACTAAAATGCATGATCAATTTTAAGTCTGCTAACTAAAGCCTCCTTAAATTTGGATGTGCTTTTGTCCTGGCAGTCCCTTTGATAAAAACCAGGAAAAGATACATGGTTGGTCAATTCAAAGTAGGGAAAGAAGATAATTAGATAAAACTTTTTTCAACTATCGAAGTGGCTCTTGACTTTGGGGGCTTGATTAGGAAGTTGTGGCCTAGGCTGTAATGGTATTTGAAGAGTAAAAATTCAACACCCCAGATTCTGACCTGGTTAGTATCAACATTCTTCACTATATTGTCTTAGGAATAGAATCAAACTTTAGATCAGATTATTTACCACTCACAGGGAAGAGGAGAAATAAAATTTGTAACACAGACTTCAAAAGACCTTTAAAATCTGGATCCCTCTCCAATAATACCTAATTCGATTGAAAGTTTGTTCATTCAGTATTAAGCAAGGATTTCCATCTGGCAAATGTTCTACAACCAAAGACCCTGGATGTGGCTCTGGAAGGCTTTATCTGCACTTCAGGCTAGCAAATAGTCTCATATCTTTTTTAGGAGTCTGCCACTTAAGTGAGGCCACATGGAAGATAGCTAGGTGGATATGAAGACTTCATAGAACAGGAAAAGGGCTACCTAGTGAGAAGCGATATATTTAATCAGCTAAAATATAGTCACATGAATGAAACCATTTTGCCCATGCCCTCTCCTATAACTAGGAAAGGAAATTCACAGGTGGAATTAACCAATTAGTTTTAATTCCTTCAGTGACTCTTTGCATCTCACTGTTTAGACAATAACATGAAGGGTTATGCTAGACCAGGATTTCCTGAATTCATCCAGTGTTTCTCAAACTAGTATCCTGACCAGCCACGTTCTGTGTCTTCAAGTGTTCAGGTGTCATGTTTTGGAAACGTGTCATGCTGTATGCCCCTTTCAAAGATGCACGTTATATCACCTGCTTGGTCATTC